CTGGTTGTTAAAAACAGGAATTAATCAATATAATTTTAAATTATCTTAGACCAAAAATAAAAGTGAATGAGGCCTCAGTTCTTGTCCCAGTTATTATATAATTATTGTGCATCTTGACTGGTAAAAAGAAAATAAGCCAACTATGTCGAACTATGAAAGAATATGTTTATCCAAAAAATATGAAAATTTTTCATCTTTGTCTGAAGAATATTATGTTTTGGTTTTCTCCTGTACTATTCTGACTCTATAAAAATTCTAAAATGGGGCAGTTACAGAAGAAGGCTTAGTGTAATACTGTGACAGAAAGTTTATGCCATTTAGGTACCATAAGACACATGTTAGGTGCAAACCGCTGGAGGTAAGTTTTCTAAGAACTTAGATTTTTGCACGGGTGGCTATGCTCACTTACTGCCCACAGGGGTGAACATGCCCATATTCTCTCCCTGGGATTGAGCCAGTCCATTTAATCAATATCCAATGAATAAATAATTGTATACTGTAATGTATATTATTAAAATATTGCATTATAATATGCCTATTATATTTAATATATGTATATTATATACGCATATATTAAGATATATTCTTGGTGTATTTGGGATAAACTGATGTATGATTTCTGGCAAAAAAAATGTTCCACAGTAAATAGATCTGAAACCAAATAAGAGTTCAAAATGGGATGTTGGCAATTTTAAAAGGAATTTTAAAGGCTAAAGTATTAAAAAAAATATTCTATTAAAGAAAATTTTTTATTCATAAAAATATTCCAGATATATACAAAGCTGATGAAAACTAAAAATTAGAATGCATATATTACTTTTACTTGGGAAAACATGGGAACTACACATATATATCCAAATGTTAAAAAGTATTTCCTTTTCAAGTTTTTGGTCTTATCCATCCTTTTCCTATATTTTCTAGGAATTCTATAGGGACATAATTTCCTCTCCTTTTTAGGGGGAAGTGTTAAGAGCTACAGAAAATTCAACAGATGGACATAGGACTTGAAAATTGGGTAGTTGAAAAAAATCCATGAACAAAAAGAAATGGTTTGATCTAAACTTTGATGAACAAACAAAGATTGACTTGCTTGGCAGGAGGTGGGCAACCAGAAAGCTTGTCTGGGGAGTGGCACATGGACTGTGTTGCTGGCTTAGGGGTTGGGTTATGGGAAAGGAGTGACATGGGACTCTGGAAAGCTCATTCTGTTTCAGGTAGTGGGTAGCCTTCAAAATCAAGCTAAGGGCTATACTTGGCTAGGGGGAGAGAGCATAAGAGACAGAACAATGACAGCTATGATGAGAAAGGGACTCATGGGCAAAGTATTTTGGAGGAGGGTCACCAGATAGGAGCCCATGAAGGAAATTGAAAGCAGAGAAATTTTTCTGAAAGATCTTGCAAAGTTGCATTGAAAATTTCTGAAGACCTAATGAAAGCTAAGGTCAAGAGCAAGAGATTTAAAGGGCTTTTAGAATTAAAATTACTAGGATCTGCTACTTTAATGGATGTAGTGACATTTGGGGAGTCTGGGCACTAGGATGACGACTATGGTGTGAGGACTCAGTGACTGGGAGTGAAGTCAACTGGCAGAATCAATCATTAATCCACTAAGTTAAGACTTCCTAAAGCTCTGACTTGAGAATGTGAAGAACTTGAGTTATATGGGTTTGTTATACAAGTACACAGGGTGCAACATATAAATCTAAGAACAGAGTTTGAGACAATTTCTTAATTAAGGAGCAAGAGAAGAAAGACTAGAAAGCAGACAGAATGTTCTAGCACAACCAAGAAGCTTAGTTTCATAGGAAACAAAAGGGAAAGATAATTCAAAAGGAAAATGAATAACAGCAAAGTCAAGCCCCAGTGGGACTGGGAAAGAACACTGAGGCTTTTAATTTCATTCCTGCCTGTGAATTTGTCCCCCTCAGAGACTTTGAAGTTCCTCCTGGGACATGGTAATACTTGTCACCAAAATTTTCCTTACACAATGAATATATTAGAGGAGAAAACAGATAAACAGGCCTGCCCTGAGATCTGCTTCATTGAGAAACATTGTATTTTACAACCAAAATGGCCTTGGGGGTCATTTAATGCAACCTTTCATTTCATAGGCAAAAAATGTAGGGCTACCACCAGATTATATGACTTGCTAAAGACCATGGCCCCTATCTAGTGCTTATCAATCAGCATTTCAATGACAGCAAATTTAGCTAGCTACTTGTGAAAAGGCAAGAAGCACAGAAAATATTAGACTCATAAACTCTAGAATTGTGGGTGATTCTCTTTTGAGACCTTTTGTCTGAGATAAGGTTGAGGTTTTCATTGGTTTACAACGCTGTATATAATTTAGGGGAATAGGTTCATACCTCCTCACACCCATATGTCACCCACAACCAAATCATCTGTATTCCTTTACCATAGACCATCGGATCCCTTGCCCAATTTGTTCCCACCCCATTTGCCTCCCCCTCCATAGCCTCAATTCTGCAGTCATATTTCTAGGGATTGTTTTGGTTTAGTTTTGTCAGTTCCTGTTTTATTTCTCTATATTCTGCATATGAATGCAATCGTGCAGTATTGTCTTTCTCCTTCTGACTTACTTCATTTAGCACAATCCCCTCCAATTCCACCCATGTTGTTGAAAATGGAGAGTTCTTTTTTACAACTGAGTAGTATTCTACTGCATGCACATACCATATCTTAATCCACTCCTGTCATTGGGCATTTAAGCTGTTTCCATAATCTGGTTATTGTAAATAGTGCTGCAATGAACAATGAAATGTATATATCCCTTCAAATTAGTGGTTTTGCATTCCACAGGAATAGAATTGTTGAGTCATATGGTATATATATTTTTAATCTTTTAAGGAACCTCCACACTGTCTTCCACAGGGACTGGACTAGTCTACATTCCCACAAACAGTGTACTGAGCTTCCTTTCTCTCCACACATTTGCCAGCATTTGTTGTTTCAGGTCTTTTGATATGGTTCCTATCCTCTAGTACATAGTCTTTTAATCATGAGCTTACCTACAGTGGCACAAACTTATTCTCATAGGAGTGAAGTGGTATTGCATTGTGGTTTTGATTTTGCATTTTTGCATTTTCTCTGCCAATAGGTGATATTGAACATTTTTTCATATATTTGTTGTCCACCTGTATGTGTTCTTTGGAGAAGTGTCTATTTAGCACTTCTGTCCATTTTTAATTGGGTTCTTTGTTCTTTTTCTTGAGTTATATGAGTTCCTTGTAGATTTTGGATATTAGCTCCACGTTGGATGTGTGATGTGCAAATACTTTCTCCCACTGAATAGGGTATCTCTTTATTATAATGATAGTTTCCTTTGGTGTGCAGAAGGTTTTCAGTTTGAAGTAGTCCCCTTCATTTATTTTTGCTTTTGACTTCAATGCCTTTGGCGTGAAGTCCCCAAAGATATCACTAAAGGCAATGTTGTATTTTGCTTTAGTTTTCTTCTGTATATTTTATAGTTCCAAGGCTTTTTCTTGCCACTTGACGTCTCTTCATATAAGATGGAAATAACTGCTTTCAGAGATATTTACATCCTAAATGTTCATCAGAGGTTAATGTTGACTGTTAAAATTATTGGAAATATGTGCAGGCATAGTTCAAGTTTTAGCAGGTGAAAGTTTTCATTTTAGTTTTTAATATGAGACCCTAAAAACCTATATTTTTAAAAGATTTATTTATTTATACATATAAGAACTGGGGTACAGGCCAGAGGTGTGGGAGGTGAGAGGATTCACCAGAGACAGGGTGGGGAACAGAACAGGCAGATCCACTGAAATACACTGCTGAGGGGAGCAGCAGGTGAGTCAGGAGACCACTGCTGTGCCATGTGGGCAGCTCCCTGGTCGGGGATCAAAATTATGCTGCAGTGGCTGTGGATAGCTGCATAGGTTGTGTCTCAACACCTTGCCCCACCAGGGAGGCCCAAAAACCTATATTTTTAAAAAGGCCTTAATTCAAGGATATGAAAAACACTCAAAATAATCTCCATGACCCACATATCACTAAGTCTTTCTTTTAATTACATTTTGGATTTCACCCCCTTTGCAAACATTTCCTGTGCCACTGATAAGATTTCAAAGGTACCTTCATGATTCTAGTTCTTTTAAACATTCAATTAATTTGATTTCTTTAGGAAGCATGTTTTATTATTCATATTGCCCTCTTTTATATATGTGGAATACAAACTATCAGCTCTTTAATCATGTCTTTTTAAAGTGTTTAATTCTTCTTTTGTAATCTTAATCTTCAATAATTCTTCCACTCATTCAGTAAAAATGTATTCAGTGTCTTTCAGACAGATTCTATATGAAAAATTAGGATCATAAAGAGAACTAAAATTAAAATTTGTCCTTAAAAGAACTAGGTCCTGTGGCTAATGATCATGCTGGTTGATTCTGAAATGTTTAAATGTAGCTATGTATTTAATAAGTATGTCCTTATAACTATAGCATCATCACCTAAACAAGATTTATGAATATTGCACTTTAGTGGAAATTTCTTTTTAAAGATTTATTTATTTATTTATACAAGCACTGGGTACAGTCAGAAGCGCAGGAGGGTGAGAGAATTCACCAGAGCCAGAGTGGGGAGCAGAACAGGCAGAGGACCAAAGTACACCGCTGAGGGGAGCAGTGGGCGCGGCAGGAGAGGTCTGCGCGCCATGTGGGACCCTCGCCCGCGGTCGGGAATCTAACCGGCGCTGCAGAGGCTGCTGGCAGCTTCACAGACCAGCACTCAACTGCTGCGCCACCGGGGAGGCCCAAATTTCTTATTTTCATGAATGGCCAGAAATAGGATATATACTTAATTTTACAATCATTTGTTTCTTTTACAAATGTATTTTTAAACTATCACCTAGGATGTTATTTCCTCCCTACATACACAGTTCCTATCCACTAATACATAGGCTTCTAATCATGAGTTTACCTACAATGGTCCATGCTTATTCTTTTTTTTTTTTTTTTGCATAGAAAAACTAGGGTGTAGGCCAGAGGTGCAGAGGAGAGAGGATTCACCAGAGAGAGAGTGAGGAGCAGAACAAGTGGATCTACTGAAATACAATGCTGAGTGGGAGCAGCAGGCAAGGTAGGAAAGGATTCCGTCTGGTAATAAGAGCCTCAAATACATTAGCACATCATAATTACTATTCTTTAACAATACTGTAAGCATCATTGAGTTCAATTAAATTTTTAGCAAGAAGGACCCATTGGTTATCTCTTACCAGTTTCTATGTTAGTCTAGATGGGAAGGAAACAGTAGAGGAGGCATATTCATCTACTTTGGCAATGTCTGGTCTGGGGTGAATACCCACCTTCAATTTATTTTCCTCCATGGCCCCCACTCATACTTTCATCAACTTACACTTCATATACTTTGTGATATACCTGAGAGCAGCCTGTCATGGTTACCAGTGACTGATATTATTAAACATACAAAATCATTTTACCAGTTGATAAAAGAAGCTGCAGTGTCTAAAAATTTCATATATCTAACGTGTTGTATAAACAGCCTAAATCCCTATACATTTTATAACTTCAGCAGTCTAAAGGTTAAAGCCTGTCAGTTGAATTTCACGAATTCCAGGAAGAAATAGGGAAGTAGCACCAACTCTTCATTGTATACCAGTGATCAAACATCTCCTCATTACACTTCAATATTGTTGCCTCTAAAGGTCACCATTGCTGAACATAATCACACAAAATCAAAACTGCAAACTTTATATATCATGGAGGTAGTAAATAGCTTGGAGGTTTATTTTCTGGTGCCTGAACAACATTCTGAACCCATTTATAAATTCCTGAAAACTGTGGCATGAACCAAACATATTTGCAATGCCTAACAATAGCTTCAATTAAATCAATTTCTTGTAAAAAAAAAACTTTCAGTCATTTTAGGTCAAAAAACATAATTCTTCTACCCATAAGGTAGTAAATATTTTAATATATCTGGTTTAAATGTGTTTTTCTTCTCTTATTTTTCTGTCAAAACAAATTTGATAATTATTTGTAAATTATCTTCAGAATGGAATACCTATAAGTTGATCTCAAAGGGAAATCATGAAGCAAATTTAGTAAAGCAATAGTACAACCCCAAATCATATATGTTCCTTACTTTTTCTATTCATTGATTTTTCTGTATGTTACTTGTACAGTCCACTGCCTTGTGTGCTCTATAGCCTAGCCCCATCGAAGCCACCACCACTTCTTGACTAGATTGCCATTTTCACTGTTTCATTCTTAATCTCTTGCGCTCATTCCCTGTTCAATGGCCAACATTATCTTTTGAACATGTGGCTCATATCATTTCATTTCCAAAGAAGGGAACCCCTCCAGTGACTTCTGATTATTCTTTTAATATTAAAAAAACAAGCCTTGAATATATTGATCCACACTTATCATTCTGATCTCAACTTTTAATAGACCTTGTCCTTACTCAACTCCAACAACAAAATATTTTACTTTTATTTATTCTCTGTCCAGGTGAGCATTCTGTCCCCAAGTCTTGACATAGCCATTTCCATCTTTTCCTTCCTCTATCCTCTAGAATGTTCTCTCAGAAAAACTGTTACTACCCACTCAAACTGATTATCTCCCCTCCTGCATTCTCTCTCTGTCCCATTCCCTTACATTATTTTTATCATGGAACTTACAATTCATAATTGTCTTGTTCAGATAATTTACTTGCTGGTTTGTTTTCTCTGTCCTCACTAGTGAAAAAGTTACACTATAAATATATATGCTTAGTTTATCCTGTCTATTAAGTGACATAGAAATTCAATAAAGACATATAAATATAACTATATATGAATGAGTGAATAAAATCCTGGAATTTCTTTCTTGTTAGAAATTTCTTTATGTTTTTAAAGCAAGTTTTCAAAAGATACCCTACTACATGGGAGAAAATATTTGTACATCATAAATATGACAAAGAGCTGATATCCAAGTTCTACTCATACAAGGAACTCATACAACTCAACAAAAAGAAAACAAAGAACTTAATCCAAAAAAATGGGCATAAGAGCTAAATAGGCACTTCTCCAAAGAAGACACATGGATGGCCAACAGACACATGAAAAATTGCTCATCACTTAATGTCAGGGAAATGGAAATCAAAAATACAAAAAGATACTAACTCACTCCTATGAGAACGGCCCATATCAAAAAGATCAGAGGCAAAAAGTGTTGGCCAGGATGTGTTAGGATACTGGTGGGAATATTCTTCTATGTAAAACAGTATGGAGATTTCTCAAAATATTAATAGTTCTACCATATTACCATATAACAATTCCATTCCTAGTTGTCTACCTGAAGAATGCAATAACACTAATTAAGGATACATGCACTTTTATGTACTATTTACAAAAACAAAATCATGGAAACAAACTAAGTGCCCAAAGACAGATGAATATATTAGGAAAATGTTGTATATATATAAAATGAATACTGCTCAGCTGCTAAACAATATAAATTCTTGCCATTTTTGACAAATAAGATAGAACTGTAGGGTATTAAACACAATAAATCAGGAGCCATATACAAAAGAATAGCAAGTATCTGTGGAATAGAGAAACAAAACAAAACCAATAACAAATCCTAGATATCTGACTGGAGAAGAGGCTACTAGAGGGGAGAGGTTGAGAGGGGAGCGTAAAATGGTGAGGGGCACAGTGAACTGTGGGTGCCTTGGTGGTGGGTGTGATTGGTTGTAAACCAATGTTGCCCAATTAAAAAAAAAATTGAAAAGGCAAAAAAAAAAATTTAAGTGAATTTGCAGTCTAAATTCAGAAAAAATTAATATAGTTCAAAATATAGAGATAAAACATGAGTATAAAGCATACATTTATGTATTGCACTATTTGCATATTCATTTATAATTTATAATTTTAACTGTAGCATAATTTTTCAGTAAGTCTATGATTTTTCTCATAACAAAAAAATTCAAATTAGACTCCTGATTCCAGAAACAATTTTTCACTGGAAAGGGTGATATTAGTATTTATCTTTCATTATGCAGCAACTACCATGCAGTTTTATTTTCAAAGTCTTTTCTATATTTAAATTCAAAATATACAACACTGAAAGAGCAAGCGACAAACTGGGCATTGTTCTAACCTTGTAGCTAGTTGCATTTATTCTAAAGATTTCCTTCAAATTGAGACTTCTTAATGATTTCAAAGTAGAAAAAGAAAGTGTTTTGTTTTAATATAGTCATTTAAGAAAATTGTTGCCCTTTGTTCTAACATCCTGCCTCCATGATGAAGAACTCAATATGGTCTCTTGCTTGTTTTCATATTAGAACTTTAAGTTGTCTGCTTATGAATTAAGAAGAGAACAATGGGATTGGGGTCAGAATGGGGGGGTTGCAATTGTAAGGGGAATATAAAAATAAAATTTATTATTTAAAAAAAATAAAATAAAAAATAAAAACGTGGCTTACTTAAAAAAAAAGAAGAGAACAATTCAAAAAGAATGTTAATAACCTCATTTACTTTCACTTCAAAAAGAATAAAACATTTATTTTCCACTGAAAACTGCAAAATGGTGAAAGAAATCAAAGCATATGCAAATAAACAGAAAGATAACATGTGTGTGTGGGGGGTGGAATACTTAATATTGTCAAAATATCCATACTACCCAAAACAATCTACAGATTTAATGCAATCACTGTCAAAGTTCCAACGACTCTTTTGCAGGAATATAAAAAAATTCTAAAATTCCTATGGATTCTCAAGGGGCCTTGACTAGATAAAAAATCTTGAAAAGGAGCAAAGTTGGAGTCTGCATAGTGCAGCCTATATCTCAGAGCAGGAATGAAAGAATTACAGATAGAGGCAGATGAGGGGGTTTTTTCTCTCTTGACTTCATGCACCAATACTGTTCGTCCTATGACAATGCCAGACCATTACATTTCTCACTGCCACTGAACACTATTTCATGGAGTTACATAGTTTTGTATTTCCTCTATTATTTATGTTTGTTGGGAGGAATTTGTGAAGTGCTTCTTGATCTACAGTAAGATGAGAGTTTTTTATATTGCAAAATAATGGAACTCCGTGCTGCTTGAACTACCTTCTTTGTTCATTTTACCCATTTTATTATACCCATTGGTAGTCAATAAATATGTCAACATGCCTCGTGTGAGACCTGTCAGAGCTGTGAGGCATAACTCCCCATCATTGGATAGAAATAGGAAAACAAATTTATCCCTGAAAAGAAATGAATGATAGGTGAAAGTATTTAAATCAGCTAGGGAATGGTGGCAACAATTTTCTTAAATGACCATATTGAAACAAAACACTTTCTTTTTCTACTTTGAAATCATTAAGAAGTCTCAGTTTGAAGGAAATCTGTAGAATAAATGCAACTAGCTACAAAGTGAAGTAGCTGCGACCATCTTCTATATTTTAAAACTTTGTTTCCTCAATGTTATTATCTTGTTAAAAATCACTGAAAAACAAAATAGCATCAGGAGTCTCTGGTTGTGATATCCAATACAGTAGCCACTCACTGAATTCTTACATTTCAATTTAATTAAAATCACACTGCATTTCAAGGGCTCAGTGGTCACAGGTGGCAAACGGCTACCATATTAGACAATATAGATAGAAAATATTTTCTTCATCACAGAAAGCTCTGCTGAATATCACTCTCTGAAGTATCTGCTACACACATTTGCCATCATTTTTAGTCTTGGAAAATGTGCTCCACAGTCAAATTGCTAAATGCCACTTGTCTCAACCTGCACCTGTCCAATTCTACAAAGAATTTTAAGAAATCTCTAATTTGAAGTAAATAACTAGTGAGTGGCTGACTTGTGAAACATAAGAGCCACTTTTGTGGTTGAAGGATTCCCAAATATCCTTTAGGGAAGATCTAATAATCCCTTTTTGACAATTGTTAGAGACTCTTATATTTATTTTTTCTGAATTTCAATGAGTTTGGGGAATAAGCAATAAACTTGTTTTCCTTTTAAATATTCAGAAAGCCCTTAAATATTATTGAACTTTCCAGTATTAAGGAACTAAAACATAATGTTCTGTGCAATAGCCACCATATCTTAATTAATTGGGTGTTGGGTCCCT